ATGGGGGCAATGCTGGTGCCGCCACTGCGACCAGATACGGCGACGATTCCCGGGAGAAAACCAGGAGGAGAAAAGGGCAGAGAAGTCCCAAGGGAACAGAGGGGCAGTGAGGCCCATAGAGCACGAGGGGCCAGCAGGAGAGGCAGAATCAGTAAATACAGAGAGGACCTGCGAGGCCGAAAGGACACCAGAACCAGAACCACGACTGAGCGAGCCGGTTGCGCCAGACCAAACAGCCCCATCACAGCCAGCATCCTTGGAACACGAGCCAGAACCTGAACCCCGGACCAGGGAACACCCCAGGCCGCAACGCACACGTAGGCTGCCGGCGTACCTCAAGGACTATGAATGCGACCTCCCGGGCAGGACTGGAACTTAGAGGGGAGGGGTGTTATGTACTGAGTTGAATAGGATCCAAACTGCAGCAGTCTGATTGGTCCTAGAACAATAGGATCCAAAAGGCAGCAGTCTGATTGGTCCTAGAACAATAGGATTCAGAATGCAGCAGTCTGATTGGTCCTAGAACAATGCAGCAGTATGATTGGTTGGCAGGAACTACCCAATCATGCTCCAGATAGAAGTGAATCCACAACCTGATTGGCTTACAGTAGAATTCCGGAATTAGCCAATCATGTGCAGCCCATTGTGTAAATAATGTATATAAAGCAGATACTTTGAGGGGACATTCATTCATTCCTCCTCACCACTATGAGCTGAATAAAGAGCATGAAATCACTTTGCGACTCTGAGTATATTTCAGTAGTCCTGGGTGCAATGGGACTCACTTCCTAGAAAATACATTTAGAAATGCCGCATGTGATAGTTTGTATAAGACTAGTTCGACTAATAGCGCTCATGCGAAAAGAGTTGTAGTCGGAATTATAATAATAATATATTATTTATACCCTGCCCATCTGGCTGGGTTTCCCCAGCCACTATGGGCGGCTTCCAACTGAATATCAAAAACAATACAGCACCAGACATTCCCTAAACAGGGCAGCCTTCAGTTGTCTTTTAAAAGTAAAATAGTTGTTTATTGCCTTGACATCTACTGGGAGGGCATTCCACAGGGCAGGAGCCACCACCGAGAAGGCCCTCTGCCTGGTTCCCTGTAACCTCACTTCTCACAGGGAGGGAACTGCCAGAAGGCCCTCGGCACTGGACCTCAGTGTCCGGACAGAACGATGGGGATGGAGATGCTCCTTCAGGTCTACTGGACTGAGGCCATTTAGGGCTTTAAAGGTCAACACCAACACTTTGAATTGTGCTCGGAAACGGACTTGGAGCCAATGAAGATCTTTCAGGACCAGTGTTATATGGTCTCGGCCGCCGCTCCCAGTCACCAGTCTAGCTGCCGCATTCTGGATTAATTGCAGTTTCCGGGTCACCTTCAAAGGTAGCCCTACGTAGAGCATATTGCTGTAGTCCAAGCGGGAGATAACAGAGCATGCACCACTCTGGCAAGATAGTCCATGAGCAGGGAGGGTCTCGTCCTGCATACCAGATGGAGCTGATAAACAGCTGCCCTGGACACAGAATTGACCTGCGCCTCCATGGAGAGCTGTGAGTCCAGAATGACTCCCAGGCTGCGCACCTGGTCCTTCAGGGGCACAGCTACCCCGTTCAGGACCAGGGATTCCTCCACACCAGCCTGCCCCCTGTCCCCCAAGAACAGTACTTCTGTCTTGTCAGGATTCAACCTCAATCCGTTAGCCGCCATCCATCCTCCAACCGCCTCCAGACACTCACACGGACACTCCATTGTCTCTCAAGGGAGACGGATGCCAACAACAGTGGACCTGACACGAAATATTTCTGTTTTTTTCTGGACTACAATTTGCCAATCCGGTGCTCCCCCCTCCCCAATGCCTTGAGCTAGCAGGGGCTCATGGGAGTTGTAGTCCAAAACACCTGTCACCCCACACCCTAGCCATTGCACAACACTGCCTTTCGATACGTCAGTATCTTAGTATCTTTGCTGCCTTGCGCAGCCAAACATTTCTAGGCAGTTTGCAAACGTTAAAGCGCAAACTGAAACAACAACACAACCTTAAGGAGCATAAAATCGTTTTTGAAAGTCACACTCAGTAACAGTGGCTGTCTCATCTGGGTCTAGGCATTGTGCTTATTACCATTAAATTCCTATCGTGCAGTTCCCCCCCAAGGGAGCCCGGGGCGTCAAACATCAAAGTAATAAAGCAACACCATAAAAAAAAAAATGAAAACATATTTAAAAGCATTAAGAACATAAAAAAGCATTTTAAAATGTTAAGGACATCTAGAACATGGGTAGGCAAACTAAGGCCCGGGGCCCGGATCCGGCCCAATCGCCTTCTCAATCCGGCCCGCAGACTGTCTGGGATTCAGCATGTTTTTACATGAGCAGAATGTGTCCTTTTATTTAAAATGCATCTCTGGGTTATTTGTGGGGCATAGGAATCAGTTCATTTCCCCCCCCCAAAAAAATATAGTCCGGCCCCCTACAAGGTCTGAGTGACAGTGGACTGGCCCCCTGCTGAAAAAGTTTGCTGACCCCTGATCTAGAATTTAATTATTGCCCCCCCCCCAATAACCCTTGTTAGCCTGTCCTTGGTTTGCGGGAAAAAGGTCACAGGGAATCCCAAACAGGACTTTTTCTCTCTCTGCAAAAGGGAATGTTCTGCGGCAGGTGCCTCATTGCTGTCGCTCCTGCCGCCCCCAGGAAAAAAATCCAATTGGAGGTGGGGGGGGGAGAGAAAAGAGGTGAAGGGGCTTGAGGGATTTTCCAAGCAGGGGTGCTAAGAAGCCAGGTGGAGAGAAAGTGTGTGAAGCATATGTGGCCTGGCCAGAGGTCCGGCAAACAAACAAATCAATTCTAGGGTATAAAAAAAAGTTCTGTTAAATCATAGCTGTCAACTGTCCCTTATTTGGCGGGAAAGTCCCTTATCCCAGCGCTGTGTCCCGCTGCTGTCCCTTATTGATGATGTCCCTTAAATTTCCCGGGTTTCAAAGGAAGCAGCTCCTCTCCCTCCCTCCCTGCAGGCCAGGGAGGAGGGAGGCTCCAACTGTGTTGCTTGGCTGCGTTGCTCACCCAATAAGGAGTCTAAGAACGACTGGGGGGTGGAGCTTGCATGCCTTGTGTCGATCAAATTGGCTGTGTTGCCTGGGGACTCGCCTTTGCTCAGCGCTTCCCAGCGGAGAGGTGACGGTGGTTTTCCTTGCTGCATCCCCTTTGCCGGGTTGCTGCGCTGTGGGAACCACCGCTTGAGGCTTCGTTTGGCTGCTGGCTGGGCTTTCTGCCTTTGGCTGGGAGGGGCTCAGAAGTCGAACATACCTGTGCTAGGAAAATTCCTTATTTTGGCTGCTGATCCCTTATTTGCGAGGCTGCTGGTCCCTTGTTTTCAAATCTGTAAGTTGACAGCTATGTGTTAAATGGGAAAGCCTGCATCCCTTCTCAAATCCTTAACACACACACACACACACACACACACACACACCAGTTCTGGTGTGAATTGTGCTTGGCATTACAGGCCAAATAACCACAGCAAGAATGTTTCTGGGCTATTGCTGAGATCGGCGTACCGTACAATTGGCAGAATATAGGATGATTCAGGACGGATTTAAAAAACCCTTCAGGCTATATGCATAGTTGAACTGTGGAACTCCCTGCCTCAAGAGGCAGCCATGGCCACCAATCTAGATGGCTTTAGAAGAGGATTAGACAAGTTTATGGAGGAAGAGAGGGCTACTGGTGACTAGTTACTAGCCAGCAATGCTTCTGGAAACCAGTTGCTGGAAACCACAGGAGGGGAGGGTTGCTCTTGGGTTCGAATCCTGCTTGCTGGTTTCCCACTGGCATCTGGTCCGTCAATGTGAGAACAGAATGCTGGACCAGGTGGGCCCGTGCACGGGTGCAGCCAAGGGGGGGCAGTGCCATAAAAATTGTTGGAAAACATTGAAAGTACTCCATTAACGGAGGCTCAACAACTTTGGCTGCCCCCCCCCCAAATCCTGGCTACGCCCACGGGCCTCTGGCCTGATCCTGCGGGCTCTTCTTATGTTCTTACAGGGGGCAGCTCCTACAATGAGGTGGAGTGGGTTGCAATTGGGGAAACTCATAAGTCACATCCATTCTCCTACGGGTATAGGGAGCAAAACTCTGGTGCTTGGCATGCTCATTCGGTGGAGCACGAGACTCTTAATCTCTGGGCTGTGAGTTCGAGCCCCACATTGGGCGAAAGATTCCTGCATTGCAGGGGGTGGGGCTGGATGACCCCCGGGGTCCCTTCCAGCTCAACAGTTCTATGATTCTATGTCTGTTCCAGGAGCCCTTCACAAAAGTAGATCTAGCTAGGTTTTGTGACGAAGACAAATCATACAGTGCTACCTCTGGATGTGGACGGGATCCACTCCAGAGCCCCATTCGCATCCTGAAGCGAACGGAACACATGTCTGCGCATGCACAGGTCGCATTTTGCCGCTTCCGCGCATGCGTGTGACATCATTTTGAGCGCATGCACGAGCGGCGAAACCCGGAAGTGACACGCTCCGTTACTTCCTGGTCACCTCAGAGCGGAACCCGAAAATGCTTATCCCGAAGTTATTTCAACCCGAGGTATGACTGTACTGTGATTTAGGAACAAAACCTGGCTGCTGGATCAGACCTTCTGGTCCATCGGATCCAGCAGGACCGTCTTACCCATAAGCGCTAGGGGTGCGGGGCACCTGGGCACCGGGCTCTCAGGGGCGCCAGGCTGAGAGTCCGAGGCCTGAGAGTTGAGTCCGGAAAGAGCCCATCCGTTGGTTGTAGCGCTGTGGCGGACTCTTCTGCTGCGGGTGGTTCTGCGCCGTGAGTTTGGGGGCAACCGAGCCAGTGAAATGCTGAGGCGGGCGGCCGGCTCCGCCCTCCTGCACACCTGGGACTGGGCAACCTGGGGGAGGGGCACCAGCAGATCTTTGCACCCCGGTGCCACATATGCTTAAGAGAGCCCATCCAGCGTCCTTTTCTCACGAGGGCCATATTAGTCTGTGAGGCTGTTGACGAGGTTCCTCTCCCGGCTTTCCATTGCACCAGATCGCTGGTGCTTACGGAGAAGCACAGGGGATGAGCGAGGCACAGGGAGCTTGGTCCGGCGCATGGCAGAGAAACCAATCCAATGCTCCCACCACACTGTGATCCTGTGCTGGTCCCAAGGGTTAACCGTGCAGCAAGGTCCGAGTCCAGTCTGAGGTCAAGGGTGTGGTATGGAGGCTGTCCATCAAAGCTGAAGCTGGGTCCAAGGCAGGGAGTTGGGTGAGGCCAGGAACTCTGGCAGAAAGAGCAGGACAGGGTGCAGGCAGGAACAGGCTACCAACAATGTTGCTCCCACTACCTGGGACTGGGGCTGGCTGGCTTTTATCTGCCCCGAGGCATAGGGCAGCCCCGGTCCACAGGTGACTCGCCTCTCCTGGCCTGGAGGCAAGCACTCCTCCTGCGGGAACTTAGTTCCCTCCGCCTCTCTGCCCTGAACCTCTGCAGCTCAGGAGAGGATGGAGGGTGACCGGACCCAGAGGCAACCTCAGCTTCCCCTGACGGGGCTGAGAGTGGAGCACCTGCAGGCAATGGGTCCTCCATCACCTCAGGAGCCAGAGCAGACTCAGCTGGTGCCTGCACCTGAGGACCCAGCACAGGTGAGGACCCTTCAGGCTCAAGCCCCAGCCCCGGCTCAGCTGGTTCTGGAGGCAGGGACTCCTGTGCAGGCTGGGATTCCTCAGGTTCAGCCTCCGAGTCCGAATCCCAGGCCATCACAGATCCACTGTGTTGGGAAGCCAGGAGAGCAACAGTGCCCACCTGCACTGTCTCCCTAATTGCTCTTGCACAGTGGGCAACCAGGTTCCTTTGGGAAGCTTGCAGATAGGATGTGGAGAGGTAGCTGTGAACCGCTCCAAATCCCATACTTACCAGAACTGACACACCTGCGCATAGACCCAGCTGTGCCAGAGAAGGTGAGGTGTGGCTGCCGGAGTAGCCTGAAGATGTTGACTCAGCTCCCTGCTGGATATAACTGGGCTGGGATGGGGAAAGAGAGGGCAGAAGCAGAGAGAGTTGCGCAAGCGGTGTGCGAGAAAGAAGCGTTGAAGCAACGCCACCTCAACCTCAGAGAAAGCCTGGACAAGGCAGACTTAAGGTGAGACTTGCCTAAAAAGAGGTCTGTGAAAGAAGCAGTGGTCCAGCCCTGGACAACTGAAAGACCCTGGATGGAGAGAAATGGATATGTCTCTCTAATATAATAAAATTGTAAGGATGTCGTCACGCCGCAATTTGCATGGCCGCAGACAGGTGGCGCTGTGAACTGTAGGGTTATGAGCTGTGCGGCAGCCAAGTGGGCAGGCGACCCAGGAGAGGAGAGGAGAGGAGAGGAGAGGAGAGGAGAGGAGCAGATACAAGCACAGGCGATGGGATGGGATGGAACTGGGTGATTGATACATGGGCAGCTGAGCAGGTGGTGGTCCAGGCAAGGCAAGGAGGAGGGAACCTGAGAAGAGAGCAGGTGGGCATGTGATCAGGTGGGTGGACCAAGCAAATGGTTTAGCCTAGCCATAGAAGTAGAGTGAGGCCCTTTGTAAAGCAGATTGTGGTACAGTGGTACCTCGGGTTACATACGCTTCAAGTTACATACGCTTCAGGTTACAGACTCCATTAACCCAGAAATAGTACCTCAGGTTAAGAACTTTGCTTCAGGATGAGAACAGAAATCGCGCAGCGGCAGCGGGAGGCCCCATTAGTTAAAGTGGTGCTTCAGGTTAAGAACTGTTTCAAGTTAAGAACAGACCTCCAGAACGAATTAAGTACTTAACCCAATGTTGTTGTTGTTGTTTAGTCGTTTAGTCGTGTCCGACTCTTCGTGACCCCCTGGACCAGAGCATGCCAGGCCACTGAGAGCATGGCAGTTAGCTGTGGCAGGAAACCTAACAAATTAAAGCTTGTGAGGGGTTTGAAGCGAAAGGGCACATTTACAGCAGATTGGTATACCTTTACTGTGTATTTAGCAAAGGAGGACATTGAACAACCTTCCCTCACACCGGGGAATTCTGGCGTATATAATTTTAAACTAGAATCTGTTTATTCATTTGGATTGGGCTGGAATCGCGTGCTCCAAGGGGTGTTCGCCTCCGCTGTGACAGGGGGAAATTTAAAGACAAAATCAGAGAGAGGCAGAGAATTCTCTACGATGATCAGCAACGGGGGGGGGGGGGATGAGCAGGAAAAGCTCTCCGCTCCCCCCCCAAGCAATGGAGTGAGGTGAGGTGGGGGAAGAAGGAAAGTATTCTGTCTTAAATCCAGGACTTGGTTTCTCGCCAACTTTCCCACAGAAAGTCCCCTGCCATGTCGTCCTCCCCACAAATCCCACTGTTTCGCCTATGCTGAAATTAATGTTTAATTTAAACTACGGACCTTGCAACAACAGCAGCAAGGATACTTATCGCAAAACATTGGAAGACCCAAGATTTACCCACGCTGGAAGAATGGCAGATGCAACTGATAGACTACATGGAGCTGGCAGAAATGACTGGCAGAATCCGAGACCTGGGAGAAGAAGTTATGGAAGAGGATTGGAAGAAATTTAAGGACTATCTACAAAAACATTGTAAACTGTATGAGTGCTAAGAAGGATGCAGGACTGAAAATAACATGGCACTAGCAAACTGTATGAAAGGACAATGAGAATATGGAAAATTTGAGAAAAAAGATAAACTCTGGATTAATATTGTGTCTAAATTTAAGAACTTATGTTGTTGATAAAATATATGCAAAGTTAGAGACATAATATTGGGAAAATACAAAATTAGATTTGAAACAAGGTGATAATTTGCTGCTTAAAAATTTATAATTGGGAACACAGGAACGAGAGATGTGAGGAAGTCCAAAAATTGAAGAAAGTTTGGTTTCTAAATAATGGATTTTGTTGTTTGTATACTTTTTCTTTTATTTTTCTTTACTGTGTTTTAATCTTTCTTTCCTTTGTGTTTTTCTTTGTTAACTGTATTTTGGTGATGGTTTTATATGTGTTTGGTGATGAAAATTGTTTAAAATCTTTAATAAATATTTATTAAAAATAATAATAATAATTTAAACTACGGACCCAGGGCTTTTTTTCAGCCAGAACTCCGTTCCGACCTCACTGGCGGAGGAAGAGGAGTGCGGGGGGAGCGCACCGTCCCCGGCAGTGCGATCCCAGTGGGGTGGCATTGTGGCTGCCCCCCCCCCCGCTGGACACCATGCCCCCTCAGGCAGTGTGGTGCACACCCAGGGTGTGTGCCACACCCCTGCGGGTGGCGCGCGATGCCCCCAGGATGCGCTCCAGCCCCGCCCTCGCCTGCTCTCCGCCCCCCCCATGCCAGAGCATGAAACTCTGCTACTGTCTGAACCTTCTCAGGTAGGTGCCATTGTTGCTTTAAGAGAACAAGGGTGGCATTCATGCTGAGTTCCAGCACCACGCATGCATGTGTTTGTGTGCGTGCACACATTTACAAATGGTGTGTTTTAGCTGAAATATAGTGGTACCTTGTTTCTCAAACGCCTTAATAAATGTGTTTTCCAACACTTTTTTGCAGTTCATTATAAATCCTTTCCCAGAAGTCTTTTACCTTGCGGCACGTCCACCACATGTGGTAAAAGGTTCCTTTTCTCCCCTTACATTTCCAGCATTTATTATCATGAGTATGATACATTTTTGCTAGCTTCACTGGTGTTAAGTACCATCTATCTATACATCATTTTCATCAAATTTTCTCTTAATACACTACATGCTGTAAATTTAATTCCTTTTTTCCACAACTTCTCCCAGTCTTCCATCATAATATTGTGCCGGTTCTCAAACGCCTTGGTACTCAAAACGCCTTGCTTCTCAAACGCTGAAAACCCGGAAATAAGTGTTCCAGTTTTTGAACATTTTTCGGAAGCCGAACGACCAATGCAGCTGTCAGCTATTGTTTCCAGGGCGCCTGCACCAATCAAAAGCTGCGCCTTGGTTTTCGAAAATTTCAGAAGTCAAACGGACCTCCGGAACAGATTACGTTTGGCGCTTTTGTTTTTGCCGTTTGTTTTGCTATTTGTTTTTGAGGCTTTTTCGGTTGATTTGTTTTCCTGACTGTGTGGCTACTGATTGATTGTGTGACTGCGGAAATGGATAAAAAAACCCATCCAAACAATGACTATCATCAGTGCAGGTAAGGGAAAAAAATTAATTTTAATTTTTTATCATCTACAATACTATCTTATTTATTTTATAGTGCAGGACATTGATTATTGCTTTCATTTTATGGATCAATGGTCTCGTTAGATAGTAAAATCCATGTTAAATTGCTGTTTTAGGGGTTGTTTCTAAAAGTCTGGAATGGATTAATCCATTTTGCATTACTTTCTAAGGGAAAGCGCGCCTTGGTTTTGGAACGCTTTGGTTTTGGAACAGAATTCTGGAACGGATTAAGGCTGCATTTTAATGTTTTAATTGTTTTAATGTTGTATTTTAATCTTGTTTTTAAAGTTATATTTCAATCAACTTGTTTATATTATTGGTTGCTAGCCGCCCTGAGCCCGGTCTTGGCTAGGGAGGGCGGGGTATAAATAATTTTATTATTATTATTATTATTATTATTATTATTATTATTATTATTATTATTTGAGAACCATGGTACCGCTGTACAGAGAAGGTACATAACCAACTCATTGCAGTATGACAGCTAAAGATAATACAGTGGTACCTCAGGTTAAGTACTTAATTTGTTCTGGAGGTCCCTTCTTAACCTGAAACTGTTCTTAACCTGAAGCACCACTTTAGCTAATGGGGCCTCCTGCTGCTGCTGTGCTGCCAGAGCACAATTTCTGTTCTCATCCTGAAGCAAAGTTCTTAACCCGAGGTACTATTTCTGGGTTAGAGGAGTCTTTAACCTGAAGTGTATGTAACCTGAAGAGTATGCAACCCAAGGTACCACTGTATATGCCTTTTCTGACACCACATTCACTGGTGAAAGAAATGAATGGGCAACACAAAGGCAAAGACTGTAGCCCTAGTTCTGAGAATAAGAAGAAAACAAGTAACCCCCCCCACAACACACAATATTTCCCCCACAATCCCACGCAGCTCCTGGGCTCCCCTCGACTCACACAGCATGTTGGTCACCTGCCTCCTGCGGACTTTCTTCTGCTGGAGGCGGATGTTGTGGTAGTCGCAGTTGCTGGCCGACTTGGCCTCCAGAGCTTCCAGCATCTTCTCCTTCCTGAGCTGTAGGCCAATGAGCAGGTACAAGACACTGATGACGCCCATGGGGACGAAGAAGAAGATGATGGTGGTCACCTGGATGATGAGGTTGTACATCAAGCGGGACTTGACCAGGGTGCAGGTGGCCGAGTCGGGGACCACCCCCCGGGCGGGGACGTGGAGGGTCTGGATTCCGTGGAGGCTGGTGTTGGGGATGGAGCAGATGATGGACAGGACCCAGACAGTGACGATGACCCTCTTGGCGTGGTTCTTGGTCACCACGTACTTGGCCTTGAGAGGGTGCACCACGGCGATGTAGCGCTCCACGCTGAGGGCCGTCACGTTGAGGATGGAGGCGAAGCAGACGGCCTCGAAGAGCAGCGTCTTAAAGCAGCAGCCGCCTGCGCCCAGAAGGAACGGGTAGTTGCTCCACATCTCGTAGATCTCCAACGGCATGCCCAGAAGGAGGACCAGCAGGTCGGAGACGGCCAGGCTGAAGAGGTAATAGTTGGTGGGTGTCCTCATGAACCGGTGCTGGATGATGACCAGGCAGGTCAGGGCGTTGCCCACGGCGCCCACCACGAAAATCAGGAGGTACGTGGTGCAGATGGGGACGAAGAACCCCGACCGGCGAGGCCCCAAGTACTTCAGGCGGAGCTCCTCTATGGTCATGTTCAGGTCTTCGGGGTCAAAGTAAGGCTCTTCTCGGCTGCTGTCGTTGCAGAGGTCCTTGTAGGCTGCCTTCTCCAGCAGCTCCAGGATGGACAGTTTTAATTCCAAGTGGGAGCAGTTGACAGAGGGATACATGGCGCCGAGCTGGAAAAAGAGAGAGAAGAGGAGTTAAGAAGAACCTGGCTGATGGTTCAGGCCAAAGACCATTCTGATCCTGCCTCCTTATGAGGAACAGTTGAGTCAGTTGGCTATGCTTAACCTGCAAAAGAGGAGTAAAGTAAAGGTAAAGGAACCCCTGACCATTAGGTCCAGTCGTGACCAACTCTGGGTGGGGTTGCGGCGCTCATCTCGCTTTATTGGCCAAGGGAGCCGGCGTACAGCTTCCGGGTCATGTGGCCAGCAGGACTAAGCCGCTTCTGGCGAACCACAGCAGCGCACGGAAACGCCGTTTACCTTCCCGCCGGAGTGGTACCTACTTATCTACTTGCACTTTGACGTGTTTTCGAACTGCTAGGTTGGCAGGAGCAGGGACCGAGCAATGGGAGTTCACCCCGTCGTGGGGATTCGAACCACCGACCTTCTGACTGGCAAGCCCTAGGCTCTGTGGTTTAACCCAAAGCGCCACCCGCATCCCTGCAAAAGAGGAGGCTGACAGGAAATAAGACAGCCCCCTTCAAATATCTCAAGGGCTATCACAGGGAAGATGGAGCATGCTTGTTTCCCCTGCTCTGGAGGGTAGGACTCGAACCCATGGCTTCAAGTTAGAAGAAAGGAGATCCCAACTGTTACGTATTCAGTGGCCTTTGTTTGACTGAGTTTGAGTCTGGACTAAGGATTCTGAGCTCCTGTGTTCTGATTCGATACATGATGTCCAATCACAAAACATTTCAGGATTTGGGCCTCTGCCATTGGCCCTTGAACTCTTGAGTCGTGATTCGCAGCTTGGAAGTTTAGACAGCCAATCGCGTTGGGAGTGGGAGTGGCCCAGGCTTCCAGGAATGTATATAAGCAGTCGCTTTGCCCCTGTTTCCCAGTTATGTAGTTCAATATAGGTTCTTGCTGTTATTGCTTGCATTGTAGGAACCCACCTACACTTCACCAACTGAACATACGGGGAAAGTTTCTGATGGCAAAAGCTGTTTTACAGTGAAACAGTCTCCCTCGGAGGAGGTGGATTTTCCTTCCATGGTGGTTTTTAAGAAGAGGTTGGATGGTAATTTGCCATGGATGCTTCAACTGAGATTTCTGCATTGCAGGGGGTTGGACTAGATGACCCTTGGTGTCCCTTCCGACTCTATGATTCTTTACCTGTTCTCAACGGTGGCCAGCTAGATGCCTTTGGTATTCCCACAAGCAGGACCTTAAGTGCGACGGCACATTCTCCACCTGTGATTCCCACTACCTCTCATGGCGAAATCCATAGCCTAGCAGCCATTGAGAGCCTACTCCTCCACGGATTCATCTAATCCTCTTCTGCACCTGTCTAAGTTGGCAAACTGCTAGTGAAGCCTCTGTCTGTGGGGATCCTATGGGGCTTAACCGGAATAAAATTTGCAAATGCTTAAGCTGAACAGTTTGAAGCATAATTACAGCAAACAATACAGTCAGCGATCACAAAGAGATGAATGCGCAAGTAGTTTGTCTGAACATGAGCGACGCCGTCAATAAGCCCCTCAGAACCCAAAGGGAAGACGACTAGGCAACGCATGCCTGCAAAAGCCGCCCTCAGCCAGTCCAAAGGACCCTGTAATCCATCACGGTGCTGGATGAAGCTCCTTCTCTGCAAACGGCCCGAGTCCCAGAGCCATGGGATAAACACGCAGCGAGCGGCAAAATTTCTCAGTTGCAGCTTGTACAGGACACAGCCCTGCAATTTTGTATGGAATAATGCTAGGTGATAAAGGACGAAGATTTCCCCACCCCCTTGCTAATCAATCGTGCATATACATTAATTAATTTGCATTATACAAGATAGTTTGTTGTTGTTGTTTAGTCGTGTCCGACTCTTCGTGACCCCCTGGTCCAGAGCACGCCAGGCACTCCTTGTCTTCCACTGCCTCCCGCAGTTTGTTCAAACTCATGTTAGTAGCTTCGAGAACACTGTCCAACCATCTCACCCTCCGTCGTCCCCTTCTCCTTGTGCCCTCCATCTTTCCCAGCATCAGGGTCTTTTCCAGGGAGTCTTCTCTTCTCATGAGGTGGCCAAAGTATTAGAGCTTCAGCTTCAGGATCTGTCCTTCCAGTGAGCACTCAGGGCTGATTTCCTTTAGAATGGATAGGTTGGATCTTCTTGCAGTCCATTAGTCTCTCAAGAGTCTCCTCCAGCACCATAATTCAAAAGCATCCATTCTTTGGTGATCAGCCTTCTTTATGGTCCAGCTCTCACTTCCATACATCACTACTGGGAAAACCATGGCTTTAACTATACGGACCTTTGTTGGTAAGGTGATGTCTCTGCTTTTTAAGATGCTGCCTAGGTTATACAAGCTGGTTAGAGACCATAAATATTATTCAGCTCTGCTGTAGAACAAGCTCCAGCCCCCATCCTTCTTGTCCTCCACTGAATGATTTTGCCCCTGCAGGGCTAACCCAGAATGTGTTCAGGGCAGGATAAAGCCCCAGCCTTCCCAATGCGTTTGACAGATAGGATGAATCAGTCATCAGCCCTGCTCCTGGCCTCCGCCCCTCCATGCTCCAGGCAGACTGTCTGCCCTTTTTATTAGTAAAATGCCGCGCACACATTACTGAATTAAATTTACATTTGTTCCTCTCCTTTCTTTTTCCAAAAGCAGAATCAGTTTTCAGAAACATTGGGAGGTGGGTTAGTGACGTTATTGGGTTCCTGCCAGTCGGAGCTGCACACAGCTGACTTTGGCCACAGATGCACAGAACTTCTTTTCTTCCTGTGAGAGAAGAAGAGTCACATCTAAACAACACAGTGAGCATACTCAGGCTCACTACTCCTATTACACCCATCCATTTATACTCTCAGTCCTCGGAGAGCTGCTTTGTGGTGTACCGACTCAGACTAATCATCTATCTAGCTGAGCACAGCCCATGAGGATTCGGAGGCACAAGGAATTGAACCCGGGGCTTTGCATTGCTGGGGTTGGACTAGATGACCCCCGGGAACCCTCCCAACTCTACGATTCTATGATTCTGCATGCAGACTTTGTGCTCCACCCTCTAGGAACATGGGAAGCTGTTGCACGCAGGGAAGGGACTCTGTCATGAGACTAGTCCAAAATACCTGCAGGGCAGCAGGTTCAAGAAGGGAAGGATAAGCAGCAGGAGAGAAACAGAGAAACGGGCTGGTTGTTTCTGTCTGCATGCGTGTGAGTGACTGAGTGCTTGAGGACAGGCTTTTATCACCCATTGCATTTCCAGTTGTTGGCATTTGATTTAATCGTTAAAGCTATACCAAAATAGGTGGGCAAGCCCTGATATCAGAGATATTTTTCTCTCTCTGTTAAAATGGTGGAGAAGCATGTGAGCTTTCGAGTTGCGCGGACTGCTTGTTGTGTTGAAGCAAACGAAAGGTGATCAGAAGGTGGCAGGCTCTCCTTTCTTGGAGATTTTAAAACAGAGGGTGGATTCTTCAGTTGCGATTCCCGCATTGCAGGGGGTTGGGCTGGATGACCCTCGGGTCCCGTCCAATTCCACGATTCTACGAATGCAGCCGAAGAGCAGCTGCGACGATAGCTTAAGAAAGATCACAACTGGCCTTAGATGCAGCTGAGGGGAGGGAGGGGGAAGCAAACTGAATAGCCCCCTGAAAAGGCTTAAGAAAGGAGGTTCCAGAAGCTCAACTTTAGAAATAAAACCAAGGTATCTCACAAGCTAAAAATTGACGAGTTGGCCTGTGATGGTGGAAAAGGACATTGTGCTTTCTCTTCTTGTGATGTGTGTACAGAGTTATAAGTTTGTGGGTGCCAGACTCTAATTAATCCCTAGATCCAGCAAGTGTTAAAATCTATCCAATCAGGCCAAATTAGCTTCTTCTTCTTCTTCTTCAAATATAGTTTTATTAAAACTTTTCAACGTACAACAAAGAAAACAGAAACAGAACAAGAAATAAGAAAGAAAGAAAATGAAGGAGATAGCAAATAAGCAAAGAGATACGAGTAAGAACAGTAAAGAGACAGAGAAAGATAAGTAAAAGCGACTTTCCGCTATCCATTTGTCAGTTGTGCCTGCAAGAATTCCTCATAACGGAAAGAAGATAGCCATACCTTTTTAGAAAAACACACAGCGCTGAAAATAAATATCACCAAAATCGAGGAGCTACAAAGGAGCTCAAGCTTCTCTGGGGAAGTTTGAAAACTGCCACTTGAATTTTTTAATTAACCCCACTCTGGCATTCGTCCAAACCCAACAGACTGCGGTTACTTGAGAAAAGTCAACTGCAAACTATAGTTTATGAATGAAACTGGCTGCTATCAAGCAAGCCATAGTTAAGATTAAGAGGCAGGGTCTCTTGGTCACACGACAGCATGACCAAAGGCTGCAAACTAAGAGCAATGCATAGGAGAGCTTTCTCCCACTCCTCAGATTTCTATTCTAGGTGCCGGAGGCTCTCTCATCTTTAATGCTGACTTCAACCCAAAGACATTTACCGTAATTAGAGGGTTGATAGACAGCATAAGGCAGTGAGAGATTTTACTTTCTTGGGCTCCATGATCACTGCAGATGGTGACAGCAGCCAGGAAATTAAAAGACGCCTGCTTCTTGGGAGAAAAGCAATGACAAACCTAGACAGCGTCTTAAAAAGCAGAGACATCACCTTGCCAACAAAGGTCTGTATAGTTAAAGCCATGGTTTTCCCAGTAGTGATGTATGGAAGTGAGAGCTGGACCATCAAGAAGGCTGATCGCCGAAGAATTGATGCTTTTGAATTCTGGTGCTGGAGGAGACTCTTGAGAGTCCCATGGACTGCAAGAAGATCTAACCTCTCCATTCTGAAGGAAATCAGCCCTGAGTGCTCACTGGAAGGACAGATCCTGAAGCTGAGGCTCCAAGACTTTGGCCACCGCATGAGAAGAGAAGACTCCCTGGAAAAGACCCTGATATTGGGAAAGATGGAGGGCACAAGGAGAAGGGGACGACAGGGGACGAGATGGTGGGACAGTGTTCTCAAAGCTACC